AATCGAAGCATGTGGATCGAAACAAACATAAAGGGAGTCATTGTCTTGTGTCTTTTTAGCATGAGGGAAGTTCCTGGCTTCTAAATTGAAGGGCGCTTTTTCAAGGGAAGCAAGAACTTAGTCAAATCTTGTATGAAGATACCTCTTGGCTCAAACGAAACTTGTACGAAGCAAAGTATGCAAGAGGCCCTTGGTGCAAGTGGATTCGAAGGATGCATAGAGATGGTTACTTTGTCCCATCGAAACTTGTCAAAACGAAGCAAGCATGCAGGCAGCAAACTTGTCCAGTTGAAGCAGGTTTGTAGGCAGTAAACTTGTCCAAATCGAAGTAGGCTTGCAAGAAGCACTTGTCCAAATCGAAGTAGGCTTGCAGGCAGCACGCTTGGTGAATCGAAAAGTTTTCCTTGCAGGGGGCCTGTGTGGCCAACATGTCATGGCCTGTGATTGCAAGCATGTAGGCAGCATACTTGTCCAATCGAAAGGCTGAATCGAAGGAGGTTTCAAATCCAAACGAAGGATGTACCTAAACTTACATTCGAAGGAGGCTTTAAGTTCAAAATGAAGGACATGCCCAAGTTGCATTTGAAGGAGGCTAAGAGTCAATCGAAGGGTGCTGAATCGAAGGAGACTTGTTTTCCTCCAAATTTGTCAAAATAATATTTTTATCTGTTTTCTCTCTTTTTTATAGTTTCCTTTTAATTTTGGTACTGGAAGATCCCAATGCACTTGTGCAAATTTAAACCCTGAGAATCCTTGTGAGAAAGGCCTAATACACTGAGCTTTGAGCCACCCTCGAGGCAGGCGACAGAAAAATCTTCACAGAAACCAAAAAATCGAAACCCTAGCATCTTGACCCGCACACATAGGGAAATAAACCCTAATCCAGGATCTGACAAAATTGAGCGAGAACCAACCTTGTAACGTGATGACAAAATTCGTTCCACGATCCACTAAACGAGAACTATATGCGCTTCCTTTTTACCTTATAAGAAAACCTCAAAACAAGATTAGACAAAAAGAGGGCGTAGCCCTAATACTTCAAACCAAAGCGCCTGATTCCCTGAGATGCGGGATATGCAAATGACTGAATGATAAAATGATGCAAATGGAATTCAAAGTTTGAAGCCAGACAAGAATAAAATAGATAGGGAAAATTTGGGGTACGACAGTTAGGAACATGTATTTTCACATTATAAGGGGTACTAGATAATGCCCCTTGTATCTTCCTGCTCTTTATACCTGCTTCAATCCTTTCACCGATAGTCACTAAATTAGGAAACCAGACGAGACGCTTACTAACATCTTTTCAGAATACAAACCTTTTAAATTTCCCATGAACATATCGACTAACTCTTTCTCTAGAAGTGGTGGTTGTACATGGGCTGCCATTTCCCTCCACCTTTGAGCATACTTCTTGAAAGACTCCTCATTTTTTTAGACAAGTTTTAGAGTTGCATGCGGGTAGGCGCCATGTCCAAATTGTACTTGTACTTTCTCAAGAAATCATTGGAAAGATCTTTCCATGTCTGGATATGAACCCGCTCCAATTGTATGTAGCAATTTATGGATGCCCCACTAAAACTGTCTTGGAAGCAATGGATCATCAAATTTTGATCTTGAGCATATGTGTGCATTTTTCTGCAATACATGCGTAGATGATTTCTTGGACATGTGAGTCCCTTATATTTTCCAAAGTCAGGTACTTTGAATTTTGGAGGAATCACCACATCTGGAACTAGACCCGTTTCAATAGCATCGACATCGAAAGCATCATAACCCTCCACAACCTTCAACCTTTCTTCAAGGGCTTTATACTGATTGAGCGCCAAGGTATTTTTAGTGACATGGGTTTGGGTTTTCCTTTGAGTTATTTGGTTGATGTCTTCTAAGTCATAGTCTTCATACTACAAGTCTATATAGTTGTCTGCGTTGTTAATAGGAATTCGCAAGGTATGAGATACCCCTACCTTCGTTGGAGGTGAGATAAACCCTTCAGTATTAGCTTGTTTGACCTCTTGGTGTGCCATAATTGACTTTTGAGGTCCTGATTCTGGTTCCCTTCTTGGTTGGTGACGGCTTGATGCACCAATAGTTTGGGCTACATCTTCAAAGGTTACCCTAGGAATATGTTCTTAACTCTCGATGATGTTCTCAAGGCTAGAAGAACTTGACTCATATCTCCTTTCATCGAGTCAATGTTGCCTTTTACCTTCTCAAAAACTTTCCCTAAAGGCAGCTTGATTCTCTTCGATCTGCTCCATCACTTTCTTTTGATGGGCCCTTGTTTGATATGGTGGTAGGAGAGGTGGTGTTTTCTTACCAATGATTTAACTGGAGAAGGTTTTTGAAAAATGATTTTTGATAGGATGAATAGTCCAGTGATGTTGATAAGACGTTGGTCTAGTGATGGCCTAAATCCCATAGTGTGTATTTAGTGCAATATAGTAAAGTGATCTAGTTCCAAGTGGGAATCGATCCTATTGGTGGGTATCTTTGGAGAAATGATGACTAAGTCATCAGTGAAGTTTTGGTACCACATACATGAGTCAATTAAGTTGCATTGCATTATATGTGAAATTGCATAATGATTGATTAATGTATGTTAATGACATTGTGATCTTAGTGATGTCTGATGATAGATGTGAGTGCGTTGATATAATGATGTATTTGAGGTGTATTAATGACATGTAGATCCATGATGATTTGTTGTTTTACTACTATATCTATTCCATATACCTTTTACAATAGTTTGTGATTACTCACCCTTTTTGCTTGGAAATGTTGCCTCTTTACGTGGGTAACTTGCAGGTAATCGGGAATAGTTTGTTGAAGCTTAGAGGATAAATTCAGAGTGCGTTATTTATTTTCTGTTGAATAAAGTTGGTCTTTCTCTGATACATAACAATAGGGGATGGGATCGTTTGAACTACCTTTCATGGTATTTAAGTATCTTTGAATATGAGTTATGAAAGATGAAGTATGATGAAGCTTCTATGAAGTATTTTTAAATAAAAGTGTTTTAAACTATGAATTCCGCTGCGAATAGTTGAACTGTCATTGTTGTTATTCAAGAAGTATTTGTTATAATCGATTGTGAAATCCCGTGTTACGAAGCAGGATGTTTTATATGATGTTTAAATGAAGATGTGACACCCTTGTCGGTGGTTCTATTTGGATCAATTTTGTAAATTATATGCGAAATACTTATGGATTTAGAAGGGTGTTACATATTCCCTCGTGCAATGGGAAAGTCAGAGTTTCATAGTTCCTCTAGAAAAGACTTGTTTGTTGTGTGTTTTTTATGAACGATACTAAGTTCACATTCTAGCAATTAACATTTGCCGCTCGACCATTGGAATTAACATATCCTTTTTGAAATAGTTTTAAAGAGAAAAAAGCCTTAAGATGAAAAATGTTTGGATTTATTGGATTGTTTTGTTAGAGGAGAAAAGTAAGTGGTCCCCATCCAGGGGTACTTAGCTAATTTCTTACCTTTAGTTTTTGAAAATTGTTTGAATTTTGTTAAGTGTTTTTGTATTTTTTTTATTAGTTATTTAATTAAAAGGAAACAAAATACTAAAGGGGAACTTGAAACCCTAATGCGGTCATGCATATATAATCCTAAAGTTTAGATTGAAATAGAGAATACTAATTGAAGTTGTCATACTTGAAGTTATCTACCTCAATCTAATCTTAATCAAAAATTAAGTTGGAATAAGGAACCCTAGGGGGAGATCTGAATCAAGCAAGCAATGATCAACAACATCAAGTGAATAAGCACCAAGAAACAAAGATCAAAGTTTACTAATCAAGACAAATATTATCATTAAGCTCTAAGCAAAATAAGTGATCAAGTACCACTCAATCTCCACACATACATGCCAAGACAAGTTAAGACAAGCATACAAGCAAACACATGCATATCACTCATCAATATCACTTCAAGTCATCAAGCAAAATCAACATAATTTAAACATGATGAGGTTTAAAGTTAATCCTTAGAAGGAACATCAAGCATGCATCATGTTTGATCAATAACCACCAAATATAATCAAAGCACTTCATCAAAATCATGGCTAAGGATAAGTATTGTGACCAAAATCAAGACATACCAAGTATAGGCATCAAAGTCAAGTAATGGAATGATCAAGGTAAGAATCAAACAATTGCAATTTGAAACATGCCACAAGTTAATCAAGAAAAGTCAAGATCAAACAACAAGTGAACAAGACAAGCCATCGAAGATTTTTATTCAAGAATCATCATCAAGTTAAAACAAACAAAAAAAGAGATTATCAAGATAGTCAAGCATTTTTATTTTCAAACATGTCACAAATAATCAAGCATTATCACCAAAGTTAGAAATATGAAAGATATGACATTAATTTAGGTCAAGAAATGCACAAGAAAAAGTATCAAAAGTCATCACGAGTTATCAAGACCTAAACATGTGAAAGACTAAAATCTAACCCTAAGCGGCATGTTAATTAACAATTATAAAAAATTAATCATACACTTAAAGCATCAATCCCAAATATCATCAATAAAGTTAATCGAGACTAGCATCAATTGCATCAAGAAATCATTCAAGTCATGCCACTAAAGTTTGAAAAAAAATTCATTCATAAAACATAAAAGCAAGGATAAAAAGAGTTAAAATAAAAACTAAAATTAAATACTAAAAAAAGCATGCATCCTAAATTATTTTATCATTTTTGAAAATTTGAAATAATAAAAGAAAATAAAAAGAAAATAAAAGATGAATAAAACAAAGATAATAAATAAATTTTTTTAAAAAAATGTAACATATAGGAGGTGAAATCCAAAGGTGTATCACGTGTATAGTGGAGGCCATATGCGCAAAGCCCAAAGAAATCAAGACCCAGGCAACTACACCAAAAAATGTGTCTTCAGTTCATACAAACACCTCCTTCATTTCAATCTCATCTCCAATTCTTTTTTTACAAGAAAAATGATTATCAGATTAAAAAAAGGAAAGGTTACACTAGGCTCCGCAAGCGGATAACCCTTAAACCAAGTTTTAGACCTAAACTGATGCCCAAACTAACAAGCATCTACATTGAAAACTATATTGAAAAACATAATAGTACCAAAACCAAACTTATTGAGCAAAAACCTACACTCCTCCGCAATGGGGTCAATATCTTCCAAACATACCAAGGAGTTAATGCAGTCCATAACCAACTTTGAATCAAATTATATGAGAGTTTTTTCTACCTTTAAGTCAATCTCCACATTGGGGAACCATCTAATTGCCAAAATCTCATCCAAAACTGGAGGGACCATGAGGAGCTCTTTCTTGCTATCCATAAAAGAAATACATGAAGCACTGTTTTTAAAAACACAACCAAAAGCCACAGAACCATTAGGGAAAATGCGCACATCAACTTGAATAATTGTAATCTCTGAGGGGATGGACTCTAACACCAAAGTAACAGGTGAACCTTTCTTAGCCAACACATCTAGGTTTTTGAGATTGTATTCCTCAAAAGTAAACAAAGCATCTACAACCACCCTTTATGGGGAAGTGACATTTTGTTGATAGAGCTGAAGGTTTCTCGTGTGCCACTCCTTCTGCACAATAACACACAACAATTGGGAGCACAAAGAATCCTCACAATCCAACAAACTCATAATCCACACACCTATTTCCATACTGCTAGGGGTACAGTAGTTGATGACATAAGAGAAGAGAGCTTGTCAGGAAAAACCACAATCCAAGAATAAATGATGAGCATATTCATGGGCAGAATTGCAAAAGAAGAAAGTAAAATCAAGAAAAATACCTTTCTTGCGCATATTATCCTTTGTGGGTTAGACATTTTTAGCCAACCTCCATAGAAATTTGCGGTATCTGGGGAGGAGAGGAGCTTTCCAAATCTTCTTCCACAAATTTTGGAATGGGGAGCTTGAAAGCCCAACCCTGGTAGCAGCCTTGTGATGCATGCTGCAATGATAAGCAGATCATACCGAATAGTCCCCGTCTCTCTCAAAATTCCAAATTAAAGCATGTGTCTGGTTTCTAGCAGAAAGGGGAATGCTACAAATATTGTTTGCCTCCGCATGATCAAATCTATTCCTTATAAGGTCCTTCTTCCAATAACAAAGATATTTGTCAACAAGATCACTAACCTTAGAATCAACTTCAAAACCCCTAGTGCTGCCAATAAATTTAAAGCCGGGATTATTTGGCAACCAACAGTCATTTAAGATCTTGACCTTTTTGCCATTACCGATTCTCCAACGCGCCCCTTTTTTAACCAAATCTCTCGCACTAAGGATACTCTGCCAAGCATAGTTGGGGGCATAACCCACATGACTTTCATAAATGGAACACCTTGGGTAATATCGCCATTTAAAAACTTTGTCCATTAAAGAATCATCCCCTTTTAACAGACACCAATATTGTTTCCCCAACAGGCTGGTGTTGAATTCGCTGATGCCCCTAAATCCCATTCCTCCATCCCCTTTCGAACGGGCCAGCTTGTCCCAACTCATCCAGTGAATCTTACGCTCCCCATTCTTGGCTCTCCACTAAAACCTAGCCAACATCACCTCCAGCTCGTGACAAACCTGTTCAGGGAGCTTGTAGCAGCATATAACATAATTAGGGATAGCTTGTGAAACTGCCTTAATGAGGATCTCCTTCCCAGACCTAGAAAGGAACTTTTCCTTCCACCCTTTCAACTTTTTCCGCACTTTCTCGACAACCAAAGAAAAAACAACCTTCTTGGATCTCCTAAAGATTACTGGTTAGCCCAGGTTGCTGGAGTGACTCGAAACCGTAATCATACCCAGCATAGTATGAATCCCTTCCCTCTCTTTAATTTTTACATTACGGCTGAAGGAGACTTCAGATTTGTCCAGATTCCCCTTCTGATCTGAGACAGCTTTGAAAACCTTCAAAATACCTGATATGTGTGGCGCCTCTCTGGTGTTAGCTCTAGCAAATAGAAGAAATCATCCATAAAGAAAAAATAGGATATTACTGCAGCCCTCATATCCATCTGAAAGCTATGAATCCTATGTTATTAATCGCCCACTTGAAGAGACCTGAAAGAACATCTGCGAATAAAATACACAAGTAAGGTGAAAGGAGATCCCCTTGGCGGAGAACTCGCTCAGGATAAAAACTGATGTTGGGGTTAGCCGTTAACCAGGACTCTATAAGAAACTGTGGTAACATAATTACGAATGAGATTCACCAAAGAGATAGGAAAACCCATGGATGAGAGAACCGCAAAAACAATAGGCCATTCCAACCTATCGTAAGCCTTCGACATGTCTAGTTTAATCGCCATGACCCCTTTTTTACATTTTTATTTTTTCCTTCATCCAGTGGAAGAATTCCATGGAAACTAGATCATTATCGGTGATAAGGCGACTCTTGACAAAAGAGCTTTGTTCCTCTTCCACCACTTAAGGAATAATGTGCTTAATCATATTACTTATTACCTTAGTAATAAACTTCATAACCACATTACATAAGCTAATAGGCTGGAAATCTTGGGGTCCGAAGGGTTTTTGAATTTGGGAATGAGAGCGATGAGGGTACCATTAATAAAACTGGGGATCTTACCATTTTTCAGCACATCCAGTGTGAAATCAAGCTTCTCAAATAAATCTTTTGTTTTGATGAAGATAAACCATGGCTTACAAAAGAAGGCAAATACTTTGGTCATGCATCTAAGCATCTAAGGATAATATCTTCAATCAAAGCTCTCTACAACTTTAAAGGTATAATAATATTATCTACTTTGATCTTAAGATATAGATGCTCAAAAATGAAAAAGAAATAGTTTAAGAATCATTCTCATGCTTTGCAAAGATTATTTTTCACTTTTCATATGCATGCAATCGATTTATATTTTAGTGCAATCGATTGCACTCTTCAAAAATTCCAAATCTTTTGTTTCTGTTTCTTGATGCAATCGATTACATAGTTTGTGCAATCGATTGCACACTTAAAATTTTCAAAACATTTGATTATGTCTTAGCATGCAATCGATTACATAGTTGGTGCAATCGATTGCACTCAGTTAAATTTTGCTACTGACTTAGCCTGCAATCGACTACATTGTTTGTGCAATCGATTGCACTCTTAAATTTTTGAAAATATAGCTATTGAAAACCTTGTGCAATCGATTACACTAAAGGTGCAATTGATTACACACTGCACGAATTTGAAAAATAACAGCTTTGTTCATGCCTTTTGATCATGCCTTTTGATTATGCCTTTTCATTACATCTTTTCACTCAAACTTGGCATTTGTTCATGATACATTTCCAGATCTTCATGATGTTTCAAAAGGGTGTTATGAACATATAAATATCCAATTTCAAATTCATATCAAACACCTTCTTTCATAATATTTTTCTGAACTTTAAAAATAAAAACTCAAGCATTCTTCACTTTCATGCATAAGTTTTCTGCATTTATTTTCATACCTTAAAACAGAAAACTTTGAGCAAATATATCTTGAGTCTTTGTACAATATTATTATTGAAAGAAGAAGATTATACATTGTTAAAATCACTCTTAAGTGATCAATATACTCTACTCACTCAAACTCACAAATTGTTTTTACTTACTTATTTTCCAGGATTGTTGGAATTAAGTTTAAGTGTTCTTATTGAAATCTTGTCTTTCCAAGTTGTTGGATACAAGTGTAGTTACATTGAGAGGATTGTTCTCATAGGTAACTTAGTGAAAATCCAAGAGGATTTTTCTTGGTTTTGGTTGGTAGTTCTTATGTAAGTTTGCCACAATAAGGAAATCTCTTTCATGTTGAAAGGGGACTGGAGTACTCTCGGACTGTGAGGGGAACCAGGATATATCGCCTGTGTCTCTTTATTTTTCTACATCTTTAAGCTTTCCTAAACTCACTTATTACCAGAAAAATAAGAACCATCATCACTAAAAACCAGAATTTTTAAAAGTACCTAATTCACCCCCCCCCCCCTCTTAGGCACACTTCGTACTTACAATTGGTATCAGAGCAGGTTATAGGTAACCTGCTCCTAAAAGATCCAGAATGGCTTCCGCAAATCATAATCCCATTTTCAGAGATGGTGGTAGTAACAACAAGCCTCCTCTATTCTGTGGTGAATACTTTGACTTCTGGAAAATACGCATGAAGGCGCATCTAGAGGCACAAGGAGAAGAGATTTGGGATGTCGTCAAAAATGGTCCATTTATCCCGGTTACGGTAATCAATAGTGTTGGCTCTTCAAAGCCTAAAACTGCATAGGACGATGATGATAAAAAGAAAGTTCTCTATGACAAAAAGGCAATAAACCTTCTTCAAGGTGCACTTAGTATGGACGAATTCTTCCGTGTCTCGACATGCAAAACAGCAAAGGAAATATGGGATACCTTGGTACAAATTCATGAAGGAACGGCTGAAGTAAAAAGATAAAGGCTAAATACCCTAAGTCAAGAATACGAACAATTTCGAATGCAGCCCGGAGAATCCATTCTTGACTTACAAAAGATATTTGTGCACTTGACAAATCATCTAAGTGCTCTTGGTAAAAATTTGACAAATGATGAATTGAATCTGAAAGTACTTAGGTCCTTAACAAGGGAATGGCAACCAAAGGTAACGGCAATTTTAGAAAAGAAAAGTCTCTCCAACATGACATCCGCAACTCTATTTGGAAAACTTCAAGAATACGAAACGGAACTCGGAATACTAGAAAAACAAAAATCAAGTGATGAACAAAAACAAAATTTTGTATGCAAAAATTGTGATTCACTCTCTTTCCACATTGTCCAATTAAAAAGAGTCATTGAAAGATATGAAAAAGGGCAAATTGGATTGGAAGGTGTTCTTAGCCAACAAAGATACTCCAATGATAAAAGTGGGCTTGGATATTCAAAGTTCTCAAAACCAAGTTCTAACAAAACTATCTTTGTTAAGGCAAGTGATCAATCTTCCAAAGAGAAAGTGAACAAACCTAAAATAGTTCGTCACTATCCGAAAAGGAAAACATTTCCTAAAAAGAAATCTTATCCTTCTAGATATAGAAGTAAATTTGAACCTACTTGTTTTTATTGTAGTATTAAAGGCCATACACCTAATGCTTGCTATGTTAGAAACTTCAGTGTGGCAAGTGGGCATTATGTATGGGTAAAGAAAGGCACTAATTATGAAGGACCCAAAGAAACTTGGGTACCTAACAAAACCTAATTTTTTTTGTAGGTATTCTTGAAGACCACATGCAATCTTTGGTATCTTGATAGTGGTTGTTCAAAGCATATGCCAGGAGACATAAACCAATTTTCACATCTAGCGCTAAAAGCCAAGGGTTTTGTCACTTATGGAGACAATAATAAGGGAAGAATCCTAGGAAAAGGAAAAGTTGGTGCTCCACCTTTCACATCCATTGAAGATGTTCTTTATGTTGAAGGACTAAAGCACAATCTTCTAAGTATTAGCCAACTTTGTGACAAAGGCTTCAAAATCAAGTTCACCAAGGATGAATGTTTGATAGAAGACGAAGTCACTCATGAGGTTATACTTAAAGGTAAAAGAGTCAATAATATATTTATGATTTCCCTTGATGATCCATCTTTGAAGGTTAAATGTCTCATGGCGAACAACAATGATTCATGGATTTGGCACAAAAGAATTGCTCATATTCATATGGAACACTTGAATAAATTAATCAAGCATGATCTTGTCATTGGATTGCCTAAGAGGAATTTCTTCAAAGATAGACTATGCGATACTTGTCAAAAAATGAAACAAACTAGATCAACTTTCAAATCTAAGAATGTGGTGTCTACTACAAGGCCACTACAATTGTTACACATGGATATATTTGGTCCATCGAGAACAAGGAGTTTTTGAGGTAATGTATATGCTTTGGTTATTGTTGACGATTTCTATAGATATACTTGGACATTCTTTTTAGTGCATAAAAGTGATGCATTCAAGGCATTCAAGAAGTATGCTAAACAAATTCAGAATGAGAAGTCTTTAACAATTGCCTCAATAAGAAGTGACCATGGCGGAGAATTCCAAAATGCTCTATTTGAAGAATTCTATGGAGAACATGGAATATCTCATAACTTCTCGGCACCAAGGACCCCACAACAAAATGGAGTGGTTGAAAGAAAGAATAAGTCTCTTGTGGAACTTGCTAGAACCATGCTTAGCGACTCAAATCTTCCAAAATACTTTTGGGCGGATGCGGTGAGCACGGCATGTTTTGTTAGCAATAGAGTTAACATTAGACCAATCTTAAAGAAAACTCCATATGAAATTTTCAAAGGGAGAAAACCAAATATTGCTTTCTTTCATATCTTTGGGTGTAAATGCTTTGTCCTCAACAATGACAAAGATAATTTGGGTAAGTTTGATGAGAAATCCGATGAAGGTATATTCCTTGGTTACTCACTTTCTAGTAAAGCATATAGAATTTACAACAAAAGAACTTTGACTATTGAAGAATCTATGCATGTTTCGTTTGATGAAACTAACCCCTCCAAGGAGGATAATATTGTCTGTGATAATGATGATGAAATTTTAGAAGGTCCTCAAGAAAACTCTTCCAAGGATCAATCCATTCAACTAGAAAAATCACTTCAACAAGAATTAAATCTCAATGATCTACCAAAAGAATGGAGAACTCATAGAGATCATCCTATTGATAAAGTAATTGGTGATATAAGTCAAGGCGTGTCTACAAGATTAAATCTCAAGGATGCTTTCCTAAACATGGCGTTTGTCTCTCAAATTGAACCCTCCAAAGTTGATGAAGCTTTAGGCGATGACCAATGGATCATAGCTATGCAAGAAGAATTGAATCAATTTGAAAGGAATCAAGTTCGGGAACTTGTTCCTAGGCCAAGCAACAAACACATTATAGGAACAAGATGGGTGTTCAAAAACAAACTTGACGAGAATGGAATAATTGTTCGCAACAAAGCAAGATTGGTAGCACAAGGCTATAATCAAGAAGAAGGAATAGACTTTGAAGAAAATTTCGCTCCAGTTGCAAGGTTAGAAGCTATTCATCTCTTACTTGCCTATGCTTGTTCATTAAATTTTCAGCTTTTCCAAATGGACGTCAAAAGCGCATTCTTGAATGGATATATCACTGAAGAAGTATTCGTCAAGCAACCCCCGGGTTTCGAAGACTTCAAGAATCCATCTCATGTATTTAAATTAAGAAAAG